GGACTGGGTGAGGAGGGGGTGGCCGGGCTCTAACCTCGCAGCCGAATTCACACCTTTTAAGACCCGTCAACAGGAACTATCTAGCTTACAGGGCTGCCTGTTGTGGGGCACCCGAGTTGTCATTCCGGCCTCGCTTTGCACACCAGTCTTAGAGGCGCTACACGAGGGCCACCCGGGCATCGTCCGGATGAAGGCGTTGGCTCGGAGTTACGTCTGGTGGCCTGGCTTGGACGACGACATTGTCAAGTGGGTAAGCTCTTGCCAACCCTGTCAGGAATCCAGACCATCCCCTCCAGTCACCACCCCCACAAAGTGGGAGAGCGCCAACGCACCTTGGTCAAGGCTTCACATTGACTTAGCGGGGCCAATACATGGCAAAACCTTCTTGGTGGTCGTAGATTCATACTCTAAATGGATCGATGTGGCCCTACTATCCACGACCACCACGCAAGCGGTTACCAAGGCCTTGACCCGCCTATTCGTAACACACGGGCTACCAGATACCATAGTTTCAGATAATGGCCCCCAGTTTGCCTCAACAGAATTTAGCCGCTTTGCCACCAATCTTGGCATTCGACACATCTTCATGGCCCCCTTTCATCCTGCCAGCAATGGGCTGGCGGAGAGAGCCATTAGATCCACAAAAGAAGCGCTAGCCAGATTCAGCAAAGAAGACTGGCAGCACAGACTCGCCCGCTTCTTACTAAGCCAACACTCAACCCCTTGCATGGTCACCAACAAATCCCCAGCAGAACTTCTGATGGGTAGACGCCTAAGAACTGTGTTGGATAGGCTCCACCCTCACTATTGCCCTGACACCCCTCTCGCTTCAATGACGGGGGTCAGAGATTTTGTCTTGCAGGAACATGTCTTTGCAAGGAACTATGCCGGAGACCCACTTTGGATTCCAGGAGAGATAGTAGCCATCACCGGCCCCAGGTCATACCGAGTCCAGCTGGAAGACGGCCGCATCTGGAGAAGGCACCTGGACCAGCTAAGGAAGCGACAGGGTACCCTCGCCAGTGCCGGGTCGTGGGCTCAGGTCAGCCCCCAGGTGCCTCACCAAACTCTCATCGAAGACCATGCCAGAGGCTCTTCGCCACCATCACCCGAACCAAGGGAGCAGGCAGTAGACCGGGACTGCCCGATGGGTCCTCCGCCTGAACCAGCAGATGGGGCCACGTCATCGCCGGCCAGAAGCACTGCACCGGTACCAGCGCAGACCTCCGAGCGAGGTTGCACCCCATCACCAACCCTACCGGTTTCCCCGAACTCTGAGACACTTGGTAACTCACCGGAGTTACGACGCTCGGGGCGCCAGCACAGACCACCCGCTTATTTAAATGACTATGCGTGTTCGCATCTGGGGGGAAGGGGTGTTATGTCCCTGGAACTTGCCAAAGTCCCCACCCAGGTCCGTTCATGCTGCAGGGGCATTTGCTGCCCCTCATTGGTTGGCTTCCCTCGACAGCCGGCTATAAAAGCCAGCTGCAGGGTTCGGCCAGTTGCTGTTCGCTGTGAGCCTGCTCCAGGCAGGGCTAACACGTTCAGTCCTTTATTACTTTAATAAAGTCTTGTTGCATCCATGCCCTGGTCTAGCCTCTCATTGCTCAATCTACAACAGTCGGCTGCAGCCAGAGCTGGTCTTGGAGGAGCAGCTGACAGACTTTAGGGTGCACAATCTACTCCTCAAGCTCAGAAGTAGGCTGCTGCAGGTTTGGACAGGTTCACCCAAACCCCTTGTTCTGATTCTGCATGATTCGGAGAACCAGAAAATGAGATCACTAGTCAGCCCCACCCCGCCTGTTTTAGGGGTGATTTTCAGGCCATTTTCAGGCTGATTTTGGCTGGAAAAATGGCCTGAAAACAGCCTGAAAATGCCCAAAAAACAGTCTGAAAAATGGGCAGGGGCGGAGCCAGCCAGTGATGGGATTAGTCCCAACAGGCTGAATCCTACATGTTCCTTTGAGGCAAGTGGCTGGGAGGTGGATGTGATGAGTGACATCACCCACCCAGTCACATGACCAACCGGCCATGCCTACTGAGCCAGAGAACACTTTTTTAAAAATTTGCAGCCCACTACTGCTCAAACTCCCAATGCTTGAACCAGCAAGCTGGAAGAGAGATTGCCCATCATGCTGGTGAATACGTATAGACCGAGTGAGCTTTTTAATTTTTCCAATCCCGATCCAGCGCAGCGCAGACAGACCAAAGGAGCTGGAAAATGGGGTATTTCCATTGGCCCTTCTCTTTTTCCCCCTCTAGCCTCCTTTTGCCAGCATGTGTCAAGCAGGCTCAGCAGGCAGTCACGATTTTTAGATGGGCTTTTATTTTGTCATCCCAATGGGGGCCGGGGGGGGAAGGGGCTCAGGATGGTATGTAAGAAACCGTCCTGTCTCTATAGCATCAGCCCACCTGTGCCACCCCACCTTGCTGTGAATGACATTGAGTTGGTTACACCCACTCAGTCACATAATACCCTGTCAGCCTCAAGATCTCTTCAGCTACCCTATCTGCTATCTATCTCATATCCTATCTGCTGCATCTTCTTTGCTGCCAGGCTTAACTCTTTTGGCTGTCATTAGCAACGGGGGAAGGGGGAACTTGGAGGGAAGAGAGCTGGAGGTGTTTTGCATTCCTTTACTGTGGGTAAGCAAGGGGATGGGGTGTATGAATTGTCTTTAACTTTCCATTTCCTTGCTAGCTTCTATCCCCTTTTGTGCAGCTGCGAAGTTTTATCAAAATATGTCAAGGTCAATGGACAGAGGCCTTATCACCACCTGAAGATGCCCACATGATCATATTCAGAAATTTTAATTGGAAGACTCTTTTGGGCTTTGGGGGGTGGGAACAATTCCATTCCTTTGTATATGTGATCTGCGTGCCAATTTCTCAGATTCGGAATTCAATCTGTAGCTTCCACTTTGATTTCCAGTAAAAGGATAACTTTGCTCTAATCCATGGAGTCTGAGTATTTCTTTCTTGGATCTTGAAGGGAGCACACACTGACATTTTTCCGAATCTCCCCATCAGTCCACCCGGAGAAAATATCAACTTTTCTTCTGAGGGGGTTTCACATCATGTCATCTCCAGCCAGCGATGAAGATGACCAGGGAGCTGTGGGGGGGGCAGCTGATGCTGTTACCAGAGATGCCAGCTGCCGACTTGCTGGCGACCTTACTCTGGAAGAAACCCCAGCTGAAATGTATGGAGAGATCCAGAAGACCCCCTCCCCTCCTGGGAACACTGTAAGTCAAAGAGGTGTGAGGGAACGGCTGTGGCAAGAGGGGGAGGAGATGGAATGCAGGCTGGATCAAGCCGGGAGATTCTTTATGGATGCTTCTGAGAAACCCAGCATGGCTCCAAAGTATGAGGGGGAAGGGGGAGCGAGTTCAGCCTGGGGAAGTCGGGCTGCCCCCACCCCCCTAGCCCAGCCTATGCCAGCGCAACAGCCAGCTGCTGCCCAGGGAGCCCGAGCAATAGGTGTGATGCCTGGGAGATGCCACCTGCCCCCCTTAGATGTGAAGTTTGGAGGAAATCCCAAGGATTTGGGGTTTTTCCTGGTACAAGTCGGGAGCTATATGGCAGAATATGAAAGGGAGTTTACCTCTGAAGCAGCCAAAGTAAGATGTGTTACCAGAACCCTGGAGGGGATGGCAGCAGACTGGGTGGTGACTTTGTATAATGATAACTCCCCCCAACTGCGGAGCCTCAATGTTTTCATGACTGCATTGAGGAGGAGGTTTGAGGACCCTCTGGCGGAGAGAAGGGCCAGGATCAGAATGAAAACCATAACTCAAGGGGGAAGATCGGTTGCTGACTACACCCAAGAGTTCAGACAGCTGGCATACCACATCCGAGGCTGGTCCCAGGGGGCTCTGATAGAAGCCTACAAAGATGGCTTAAATGAAGATATATACCACATGTGCATCTCCAGAAGGGATCCACATGATTTGCAGTTGTGGTACTTGCTAGCGGAAGAAGTGGAAATAGATCTAGCCCGAAGCAGATGCAAAGGAGGCCCCGCATGGAGCAAACCTCTCCCCCCATGTCTCTGAGAGACCCCTAAACCCCAAAAGGGAGGGCTGATGGCAAGAGCCAAATCCACTGCCTGCTTTTGTTGTGGGAAGGAGGGCCACCGGATTGCGGATTGCCAGGTCAAGCTGGATCCAAAGGGAGTGCGGGGGCCAGGGAGGAAGCCCAAAACCTCCCCAACCAAGCCTCGCGAAACCGGGCTAAAGATAGGGGAGGTTGTAGAGGTCGCCCCTCCGGCGGGAGAGGAGCTGGGACCTCCAACTCCCCTTGACGAGAGCGAGACCGACTCGGAAGATGACATCCTGGTAAGTCCTAACCAAGGTCCCATGACCATCCCAATAAAGTTAAGGGTGCCCACCTCAGGGACTGAGGGGGAGATGCTGGCCTTATTGGACTCGGGGTGCATGAGGTGCGTAATTAACATGAAAGTAGTCAAGGGTATGGGCATCGGACTGAGAACTTTGAGAACGCCCATATCCTTTTGCCAACTGGATGAATCTGAGGCTGGAGGTTGCCCTGCATGTTTTATAACGGAACCCCTAGAGATGACCATGGGAAACCACCGCAAGACCCTGTGTTTAATTGTGGCCCCTGGGATGGAACAGCTTCTAATATTGGGATTGCCCTGGCTTCGGAAGTGGAATCCCCATGTGAACTGGAGAGAGGGGTGGATATGGATCCGCACCGATCGGCTGCCGGAAGGGGAGGAGAAATCCCATCCGAAGCTCCAAGGCCCTGCTGAGACAGCTTCTGCAGGTGCCGAACACGTGGAGGGGGAGGAGAAAATCCCAAAAGAGTACTGGGACTTAAGAGAGGTGTTTAGTGAAGAGGCCCCCAATGAGCTCCCTCCTCATCGGTCAACCGATTGTAGCATTGAATTTCTACCAGGGGTGACTCTCCCGAAACCGAAGCTGTATTTGATGACACCACGGGAGCTGGAGGAATTGAGATCGTTTATTGACAAGAACTTCAAACGTGGTTTCATCCAACCCGCCAGACCTCAAGTGGTGGCCCCTATGTTGTTCCGCGAGAAGAAAGATGGCTCCAAATGCTTGGTGGTTGACTACCAAAACCTGAACGTGGTGTCCGTGGAGAATGTGTACCTCCTCCCTCTGATGAAGGACATGCTAGCCCACCTGGCCAAGGGGAAGATTTTCACGAAGTTGGAGTTGAGGCAGGCGTACTACCAAATCTAAATTAAAGAGGGAGACGAGTGGAAAACTGCGTTCAACTGCCCGATGGGTTGTTTCCAGTTCAATGTTCTCCCTTTCAGCTTACAGGGGGCACCAGCCGTTTTCATGCAAATGATCAATCAAGTGCTCCATGAACATTTATACAAGAGGGTTTTGGTCTACCTTGATGATATCCCTATCTACATGGAGACTAGAGATGAACATGTGAAACTGGTACGCTCCGTGCTGCACAAACTGCGGGCTGCCAAATTGTATGCCAAATTGTCCAAATGTGAGTTCCATCAAGAAAAAATCGACTACCTCGGATATCGTATCTCACCCGAGGGCATTGAGATGGACCCAGAGAAGGTGCGAGCAGTATTGGACTGGGCCCCACCGATAACCCGTAAACAGCTTTAAAGTTTCCTTGGATTTGCTAACTTTTACCGGCAATTCATCCCGTCTTTTGCTAAAATAGCCATGCCCATCACCAACCTCCTAAAGACAAAGGGGGAGACAAAGACAAAGCCCAGCCAGCCGTTCAATTGGTCCATGGAGTGCCAAGCCGCTTTTGAGAAGCTAAAAAGATTATTTGCTGCAGGACCAGTGCTGAAACACCCAGACATGGATGCCCCTTTCATGATCCAGGCTGATGTGAGCGATGTGGCTGTGGGAGCGGTCTTACTTCAGTTAAACGAGAAGGGGACACTACAACTGTGCGCCTACACCTCCCGTAAGTTGACTGACACTGAATGGAGATGGGCTGTTTGGGAGAAGGAAGCTTTTGCAGTCCGTTGGGCCCTACTAACTTGGAGGCATTTTCTGGAAGGAGCGAAGCACCCATTTGAGGTATGGACTGACCATAAAAATCTGGAGGCCTTAAAAACACCTTGGAAGTTATCCCCTAAGCAAGTTAGGTGGGCTCAGTATTTCAAGCGATTCAATTTCTCTCTGCAATACATCCCAGGAGGAAAAAAATTTATGACAGATGCTTTATCTAGAATGCCACAATACAACAGTGTTCGTAAAGAAGTGATAAGGCTGATTGTGTCAACCACACAGCTGGCTGCCCCAGTGGTCACCAGAGCGCAAAAGAGGAAGCAAGAGGCGGATCTCTCCAATGACTTGATGGAACGATTTAAGGAAGCCTTGAAAACAGATGAGTGGTTCCTGGCAAACGCGAATAACTGCACCGTTAGAGATGGTTTAGCCTGGGTGGGTGCGAAGTTGTATGTACCACAGACTTTGAGAAGCCAAGTGTTACAACAGACTCATGACTCCAAGGCAGCTGGTCACTTTGGTTTCGTGAAAACGTTACACCTGGTGAAACGGCAGTTCTGGTGGCCTTCATTGAAAAAAGACATTGAGACTTATGTAGCAAGCTGTCCAGTTTGTGCCTCAGCCAAAAGACCTCCTGGTAAGCCACCAGGTCTGTTGCAGAATGTGGCCAGGCCAACTGCTCCTTGGAAGGAAATCTCCATGGACTTTATAGTAGACTTACCCGAGAGTGCTGGGCACACAGTCATCTGGGTGGTGACCGATTTGTTCTCCAAACAAGCACACTTCATACCTTGCTCCAAGATTCCCTCGGCGAAGTCACTGGCCAGATTGTTCATTATACATGTCTATAGACTGCATGGTGTCCCTGAACGTGTAGTTTCTGATCGAGGGGTTCAATTTACCTCAAACTTCTGGAGGGAATTTTTGAAGTTAATAGGCTCCACCCAGGGCCTAAGCTCCGCCCACCACCCCCAAACTAATGGGCCCTGTGAGAGAACTAACGGGGTGCTGGAGCAATATCTCCGGTGTTACATAAATTATCAGCAGGACAACTGGGTGGATCTACTGCCTTTTGCGGAGGTGGCATATAACAACTCTGTCCACAGCAGTACTGGGTTTACCCCCTTCAAAGTGGCCATGGGGCAAGATTTTGTGCCCATACCTGAACTTCCTCATGAAAAACCCAATGTCCAGTCATTGGAAGACTGGATATCCCAACTTCAACTCAATTGGCCGGTCGCTCGTGAAGCTTTGGACGAGGCGCACAAGTCTCATAAGAAATTTGCTGACAGGAAGAGAACTCCACAGAAGTCTTATCAAGTAGGTGACAAAGTGTTCCTCTCAACTAAATATTTACAGACCACTCAGAAATCGAAGAAGTTGGGTCCTAAGTATGTGGGCCCTTTCCCTATTGAGCGGATTGTGAATCCTGTGACTGTTCAGTTGACTCTACCAAAAACTCTTCGTCGCATTCATCCGGTTTTCCACGTTAGCTTGCTAAAACCTGAACATACCTGTGCATTGAGACCGACCCAGACTGATCCCCCCGTACCATTGTTGATCGAGGGTGAACAACATTTCGAGATTAAAGAGATTTTAGACTCTCGGAAATGGAGGGGTCGTCTCCAATATCTTGTAGTCTGGAAACATTTTCCCCCATCCTATGCCGAGTGGGTAAATGAGAAAGACATAAGGGCTCCTGAACTGCTCAAGAACTTTTATGCTAAGTAACCTGATAAACCATAGAAATGTATGCAATTGTTAACATATTTTTGTGTTGTTCTCTCTTACAGGGACTAATGTCCTTTTTCTAGGGGGTCCAAATGTCAGCCTCAAGATCTCTTCAGCTACCCTATCTGCTATCTATCTCATATCCTATCTGCTGCATCTTCTTTGCTGCCAGGCTTAACTCTTTTGGCTGTCATTAGCAACGGGGGGAGGGGGAACTTGGAGGGAAGAGAGCTGGAGATGTTTTGCATTCCTTTACTGTGGGTAAGCAAGGGGATGGGGTGTATGAATTGTCTTTAACTTTCCATTTCCTTGCTAGCTTCTATCCCCTTTTGCGCAGCTGCGAAGTTTTATCAAAATATGTCACGGTCAACGGACAGAGGCCTTATCACCACCTGAAGATGCCCACATGATCATATTCAGAAATTTTAATTGGAAGAGTCTTTTGGGCTTTGGGGGGTGGGAACAATTCCATTCCTTTGTATATGTGATCTGTGCGCCAATTTCTCAGATTCGGAATTCAATCTGTAGCTTCTACTTTGATTTCCAGTAAAAGGATAACTTTGTTCTAATCCATGGAGTCTGAGTATTTCTTTCTCGGTGTTGGGTATATGGATACTCCAACTGGTTTGGGTTGAATAAATATGTAAACCTAGGATTAAGTGCTATGTAGCTTTAAGCACAAGAAACTGCAATGTCATTGTGGGTGCGGTTGCAGGCAGCCATATAGGTAGGAGGGGAAACGTAATAGCTCCGGCTTCTGGATGCAACTGTATGAGCTCCGGCTTCTGGATGCAACTGTCTGAGTCCAGTTTCTGGATGCACCTAGTTACTGTTCCTAGTCTGCTGCCTACTGTGTGCTGTGTTGGTCTATCTGCTTATCTTGGAGGCTACTGTGCCAGATACCATTTCACCTGAAGACAAGGACTGTTTGGTCTGGTGAGCTGTGGATTCAGCGTTAGTACTTGAGAGAAAGGTATCTTAAGAAGAAGATATACAAGCAGATAAGAACATTGTATTTACTGTAAATAGACTTGATAACTGGATTGATATACTGGATACTGACATATGGACTGAATGACTATTCTTAATCTCTGTATGAATTAAATACCTATTTAAACCACAAACAGTGTATTTGTCTCAAGTGTGTGTATACTCCTGGGCCCAGCCTCTCTCTCATTTGGCTGCCTGGCTTGACTGCTGCTGCACACTCTGCTAGGGGGTTTATCCCCAAACACTAACACTCGGATCTTGAAGGGAGCACACACTGACATTCCCCAAGCCGTGCCCACTCAACCAGTCACTAGGAGAACAGGTTGTTAAATTACTTGAATCCCAACATTGATATACAGTATATAAAAATATCCTTGTTTAGAATATCAAGCAAGGATTCAAAGCAACTTTTGGAATGCTTGAATTATTTTCTGTTTGAACCAGATCTGTTCATGCTTTGTTCGTGTGTTTCTGTGAAGATGAACATCTATATATTACCGTTATAAGCAATATATTATATAAATTAAGCAAAGTTTGATAGATTTTTTTTACATCAACAATAATTTACCGTGTTATCAGAAGCAGTGATAAATGCTTGTAAAGCAAGTCTTACCAACATGCTTCATAGATTAAAAAGCAAAAACAATAGCAATGTTGTTTTATTTGCTATTCAAAATATTGCTGGAACCGATCAAACTTGAGCCCTGATATTCACGGAATGGCAATGCAAAAATTGGACAGAAGCAAGATAAGCTAAATAGTTTTGTTGATGAAACAAAGAGTGTGACATCCAGAGAAGTTACATTTGACACGTGAGGCTGAAAAATCTTCATCTTCTCCCAGGTTTTTCCTTTGGTGAATAATTGCAAATGTTTGAAAATCAGTTGGTGGGAACTGAATCAAATCTCCACATGACTGTGCATTGCTACTCCCAGAAGTTGTAATGACTAATATTTGAGCCATGGCGATGCAGTGGTTAGAATGCATTCAAATTTTGCCAACTGCTAATAGTTTGATTTTTACAGTCTCAAGGTTGACTCAGTCTTCCATTCTTCCAAGGTCAATAAAATGAGGACCAGACAGTTGGGGGCAACAGAGCTGTGGTGGTACAGTGAAGTACCTCAGGCTACTTCTCCTGACTGCTAGCTGCCAGCAGTTCGGTAGTTTGAGTCAACTCAGGCTTCCATCCTTCTGAGATAGGTAAAATGAGGAACCAAATTTTTTGGGGCAATATACTGACTCTATAAACTACTTAAAGAGGGCTGTAAAGCCCTGTGAAATGGTATATAAGTCTAAGAGCTATTGCTATATCTGTTAACTTAAAACTAAGCATAAATTACCTGACAGTGACAACAAATAATCAATGGAAAGGGTTTCCTCTACATAATGTGGGTGCTCCAACAATAGAGGTTTCCAATAAGAGATTGGATAACCATTGGTCTGGAATGGTATAGGGTCTCCTGCTTAAGCATGGGGTTGGATTAGAAGACCTCTAAGGTCCCTTCCAACTTCGTTATTCTCTATTCTATACCTGAAAACCATTGTTTTTCAAAAATAATTTGCAATTACTTTCTCTGGTTTGTGAAATCACTGCTAACTATTACTATTTAACACTTCTAAAGATTAAAAATAATAAACTATGCAGGACACCTTAGATTGCACATTGCTATTCTTGGGGCGAAATATGCAGCAATGGTCCATCTTTATCTCAATGCAGTTTTAAAAGTTTGCTCCAGTTATATAATTTAAACAAAAATGAGAAAAGAAATCCAGGATGATAGTTTTCTAGCAAGAGTATTATTGGCAGACTGCTGTTCAGAACAATTTGGGTCCTCATTTACCAACCTCAGAAGGATGGAAGGTTGAATCCATTAGTTCAGAACTAAAAATGGGAATAATTACTCAAAATTGACCCTATTTCCTCCAAGTGTCACCTTTCTCATGCTTTCTCAAGCTTCTTCAAATATGAAACACTCTGGGTTTCATCAAAAATAAAAAAGAGAAGGAATCACAGTGAGTGACCTCAAGAAGGATATGAAGATTTATCCTCTATCATTGAGTGCCAGAATCTATTAGTTGTATTGATTTTAGATACACCATATATGATGATACCAGGATGCACACAATGATAGAATCAAGTTATCTCCATTCATTGTTGTTTTACATTGAAGTAAATGACTATGTCATGTCAAAGGACAGTCTCATGTTTAGTATAGCCTAAAAAGCAAAGAGATAAAGCTTCTCTAGTAATGCAACGGTACGTACTCTCTGATTATGGGGTTTAGATGTCGGGATTATAGATGCAGTGTGTAACTAACTTATTTTATGTGCTGAAAAGGGTAGGTAGATTTATCAGTTGATCTGAGTGCTGAGAAGTGCAGCTTGTATCATGGAAGAATCATTTGATCTACATTATAGGGCATTTTACCTATTTCATAGAGATTTGATAGAATCCTACAGATTTCTTTTTCCTGACCACTGAAAGCTAACATTTGAGAACAGAAGTTTGAAGCACTTGTGGATAATCTCTGACTATCAAATGAGGGAAATGGGTGGGGAGGAGTATCAGATGTGAATTTCAAGGAGCTTTGCTTTTATACAGCTCTTATCTGTCTGTGCTTGTTTGGCAGGCTTCTCTATGCCATGCTAGTAAAGCTATTAGGAGGAATAGAAGTGGGAAAAAAGACATAGGTAGAATCATTTTTGGCTTGAGTTATTTTCAGCATTTCTCACTCTATAGCATGATATGTGGATTTTTTTTTCCTATTTCTTGTCTGTAGGCACTGAACTGTTACATGGCTCTTTTAGTTAGAATAATTTCAATCATTATTTAAATTTAATATGTTTCAGAAGGAGGGGGATTACTAGGTTTAATGTTGTATACTGCCCACAGTTTTGTGGACTTGAGCAGCCTTTTAAAATTTATTAATAAATAGATATCACTGCAGGCAGTGAACATAGGGCAGGATTTAATTTTTCCTTAGTTTTGAGAACAAGGTTTAAGTCTTTTGTGTGTGAGAGAGGATGTTTTAAGTTTAAAAAAAGTTGTGCCTAAAATGATGGAAAACTCTGTAACCTAGTTTTTGTTAATAGTTGGGAGAGATTTTTCTGTGACTCTTCAAACTGAGATTTGAGAACATATCAAACTATATTTTCATGTGGTTTCCCTTCCTGTTTTAAATAGGTTAACTACTTGCTAAATCTTCTCCCTCCAGTCAGTTCAAGTATTTAATTCTACTTCTCCATATAGAACAATGAAAGATGCTCATTCAGAAAACCTTTTAAAGCAATTATTTAAACAAGGATCAAACTCTGTTCTGTTCAATGGGTTGTCATGGAAAAGTCAAGGAGACAAAACTTTGCAGACTAAACTTGAACTTCCAGACTAAGAGAGCACACATTAACAAAAGATATTGTAAAGTTGGAGAAAAAAACATCCAGTGTTTATTTCGACAGGCAATGGAGAACAAAAGCATCATGATTTAACTTATGAGTAGGGCCATGGAGGAAATGACAGCGATTGAGGGATAAATGGTGCAGTGCTTTGAGGAATATCAGAACAATACAAGAGGGGGGAAAAGCAAAGCAAGGGACTATAATAAAGAGAAGGCATAAGACATCTTTTACTTGAAAGCACCAATAAAAATGCTGTACTTTGGTAAAGAAACCCACAATAAAGGAGCCAAAAGTGAGGAAATACAGAGTAGATTAGCACTTTGTAGAGTAGCCATGAAACTATTGGAAAAGATATTCAAACAGCAGGATGGATTGATACTATATAACAGGGATGTCAAACTCAAGGCCTGCAGGCTGGTTCCACCCCATGATGTGGTTAGATCTGGCCCGCGGAGCCATCCTGGAAACAGCAAAGGATCAGCCCGCAGCACCTCTACCCAGCCCAGGCCAACTGAGCTCTGATCTATATTCCAGTGGTGGCCATCTGGGCTAGGACACAGTCAACCTTAGATCCGCGGGGCTGTCCTTGAGCCATCAAGGGGCCACCCCTGCCCTGCCTCCCTAGGCACATGCATTCATGAGGCCTGGTGTCCCTGGGGACCATCTTCTCCAGCAGGCTGACTGCATTCTGAGCACCTCCCTTTCACCCAGGACACCAGTTTATGTGTGCTCACCGCTTCCTATGGGTTCGCATGGGGGGTGGTGAGGCATCTGGCCAGTCCCTCATTAGCTCCAGGATGGCCCACAAGTTGGATCTAACACCGGGTGCAGGAATCCACACTGTCCATGGCCCAGGTGTGCTGCTTGCTCACATGCACAAGCCTTAGTGTTTGAGTGCAGGAACAAAGCCTTCAACTGAGTGAGGAAGCACTGCGGGGCAAGGCCCCTCACTCACACCCATGTCCAGTCTGCTGGAGTTTGCCACACCAGGGAGGAATGAGACCTCATTGTCCCACTGAGCATGGCTGCATGCAAATGGAGCACTTGGAGCACCTGAGCAACCTGTTCTGACCTAGGCTTCCTTAGAAAGCATAAACACAATCTTAGTTCCGGCAAAACCTTTTATTTCCACAGCTGTGAATTAAGTTCATTCACAGCCTGCAAGGCTTCACAGTCTTTCAGGGAAATGTTTATAAACATTCACCTTACCACACTTGGAATGCTGCCAGAGAACTAATTGCCAAATGCAGGGCAAGGCCAAACTTGACACAGAGTCAAACAGAACTTTTCAAGGCTTGAATCAAACAAACAAACTAATTGCTTCCTGCAAAAATTCAAGTCCAATTCGCTCCTCTTTTATGTCCTATGGGAGGGGCCAATCATCTCTGAGTTGTAGCCTTACTCCTGAGTTGATCCTGCTTTCTCAGTTGTTCTTGTCTTCTGGTAGCTCTGTGCATGTGCAGCTTGTGAATCAGTTCCAGAAATTCCTCCACCTCACTGCTGTCCGAATCTGAAGGCAGCTGATGACTGCCAGCCTGCCCTGGCCCCATCTACCCTGATGCAGAGCCCTTGTCCGTGCCTTCCTCAGCCTCCAAGACTGGCCCAGGTTCCTCTCCAACCTCCTCACTACTGTTCGACTCTGCTGCCAGCTCCGTCAGCTGCTGGTGGGCCAACACAACCATGATCCCCCCTCCCCAATCAGCCAGCCCCACCTGACCTACTCCTTGTCAAGCCAGTCATCTGGCACAAAGACTCACCATTGTTGTCCTCCTCCTCCCCCTCCCCGCTTAAGCAGTGGCTGACTCTGCAGGTCAACAGGGTTTCTCATTTCTCCCTTGGCATGGTGACCTCTGGCAGGCTGTATGCAGATGTGAGGGGCCTGGCTCCATGCTTAGTTGAAGGCTTTGTTCCTGCCTTCAAATAGTAAGGCTGGCACACACAAGTGAGCAGCGCACCTAGGGCAAGGACAACATTGGTTCCTTCCCCTGTCCGATTCCGATTCCATGGTGGCTTTATTGGTTGAGTGCCAGAATGAAGCCTTCAACTGAGTGAGGCAGCACCATGGGGCCAGGCCCCTCACACCCACATCCAATCTGCCAGAACTTGATACGCCAGGGGAGAAATGAGACCTCATTGTTCAATGGAGCACATCGCCATTTGGGGGAGAGGAGAGGAGAAGAGCAGCAAGGCTTCTCACCACCTGGTTGGCCAGGCAGGGAGTAGGTCAGGTGGTGCTGGCTGGCTGGGGAAGGGGGATCATGGCTGCTCAAGTGGCTGCTGCCACCAGCAATTTGGGTGCCCCAACTGCGTTTGAGCTGAAGAGAGCGAAGGCACAGCATCAGGCGTGCCTTCAAAGATTGCTCCAAGTGCCCCATTTGCATGCAGCCATACTCTGTAGGACAATGGGATCTCATTCCTCCCTTGGCATGGCAAACTCCAGTAGGCTGGACAAGGGTGTGAGGGGCCTGGTCCCACAGTGCTTCCTCACTCAATTGAAGACTTAGTTCCTCAGACATTAAGGCCACCTGCGGAATCAGAATTGGCTGGGTGCAGGAACCAATGCTGTCCATAGCCCAGGTGTGCTGCTTGCTTGTGTATGCCAGCCTTACTGTTTGAAGGCTGTGAATAAAGCAATGAGGCACTATGGGGCCACTATAAAAGGCAAAACCTGGACAGCCCCTTAAATGGACTCTAGAATGCCAAAAAGCTTTTGAATTGTTAAAAAGGCATTTCACACAGGAACCCATTCTAAAACACCCTGACCCAGCTTTGCCTTTTATAGTGCAAGCAGACGCTAGCGACATAGCAGTGCCAGCAGTTCTACTCCAGAAAAATGATAATGGAAATCTGCAACCCTGTGCATACACGTCCAAAAAACTCACAGACACTGAAAGAAGGTGGGCTGTATGGGAAAAAGAAGCTTATGCAGTTCGTTGGGCTTTAGAAACTTGGAGACAATTTTTAGAGGGCAGTGACATTCCGTTCAAAGTGTGGACAGACCATAAAAAACTTAGAAGCTCTAAAAGCACCCAGGAAACTCTCTCCTAAACAAGTTAGATGGGTTCAATACTTCAAAATGTTCAATTTCCAACTGAAGTACCTCCTGGGGAAAAAAATCTACTAGGAGACGCATTGTCTAGGAAGCCCCAATTTGACAGTAAGTGAGAAGTATTTCACCCAATCATTCCACCAACCTCTCAAGAGACAGTTCAAGTAATCACACGGGCACAAAGCCAAAAAATCAAAGACAAATCAGAAATGACCAAGAAGCTGCAAAATGAATTAGGAACAGACACTTGGTATCAAGAACATAAGGATTTATTAACTACGCGGGAGTGGGTAGCATGGAAGGGTTCTAAACTATATGTCCGTAAAACTTTACATCTTCATGCACTTCAAAAAAGCCATGACTCAAAATAAGCAGGACATTTTGGATATTTAAAAACCCTACACATGGTCAGACACCAGTTTTGGTGGCCAGAAATGAAGCAAGACATTGAGGATTATGTAAAGAGTTGTGCCACTTGTGCCACAAGGAAAACCAGACCAGGAAAACCTCCAGGATTATTACAATCTGTTGCAGACCCATCCCAGCCCTGGGAGGAGATAGGGATGGATTTTATAGTAGATTTACCTGACAGCGGAGGGCGCACCGTAATTTGGACTGCAGTGGATTTATTTTCCAAACAAGCTCATTTTATTCCATGCAAAGGTTTTTATTCCATGCAAAGCCAGGAAATTATCCAAAATGTTTGTGAATCATATATATAGATTGCTTGGAGTGTCTCATAGAATCATTTCAGATAGAGGGGTTCAGTTTTCTGCAAAATTCTGGAGGGAATTCATACAAGCAATTGGATCCTCTCAAGGTCTGAGTTCAGGTTTCCACATGCAGACCAACAGACTGGCTGAGAAAACTAACCAAATTATTGAACAATATTTGAGATGTTATATAAATTATCAACAAACCAATTGGGCTGATTTGCAGAGGTTGCTTATAATAATGCTGTACATAGTAGTACTGGGTTAACACCTTTTCAAATCAATACTGGGATGGAGTTCGTTCCCATGCCTGAATTGCCAAGAGAACCTCCTCCCCAATCCATGTCAGTAACTGAGTGGATGGATTCAATTAAAGACTCATGGGAAAATGCAAAAAAGGCTTTGAATAAGGCAGCACAAATTCAAAAAATACAAGCTGACAAACACCTTCCCAGCAGCCACAATTTAAAGTGGGGGATAGTTTATTTGTCAACTAAATATTTAAAGTTACATTTACCTTCTCGAAAATTAAGTCCAAAATTTATAGGGTCCTTTCAGATAATTAAAGTAATAAACCCAGTAACTGGAAAACTAAATCTCCCTAGGTTATTGGGGAAGGTACATCCGGTGTTTCATAGTAGCTTATTAAAGCCGGTTGTTGATTCTTCCTTGAGGCCAGCAGAACATGCACCCCCAAAGCCTTTAGTTATTGCAGGGCATGAACATTATGAAGTTAAGAAACTTTTGGATGCTAGGATTTTCAGGGGGAAGTTACAATATTTAAATTTATTGGAAAGGCTATCCAATTTCACAAGCAAGTTGGATTTATAGCTGGAAAGTAAATGCTGATAGATTGGTGGGGAAATTCCATGAAAAATATCCACACAAGCCAAAACTGAATTCTGTAGGTGGCAGAGGAGGTTAAAATGTGCATTGTATGATTGTGTTAATCTAATTTCAATCTTTGTGTATTTTATGTCATTGCAGGGATTTCTTTTTGAATAAGGGAGGGCAGCCTGTCAAGCCCAAAATTGACATATGTGTAGCCATTTTAGTTAGGCTTAATATATATTCTTTTCCTTACTTTCTCTGTGGCAGTCATGGGGGAAAGGGTTTCGGGCTTGCCACATTCCTAAGCAGGGAGGAGTGGAGATAAAGAGAGTGTTTTGGCTAGGTGATCTTCCTTCCCATGGGAAACGAGCTGTCATTGCTTGGGCCCTTTGAGGTGGAGATTTATGACATCAAGCATCATTGAATTATTTCTATTGGAGAATGTGACTTTTTGGGGTTGTTTCTAACTTGTAATATTGTGGGGTAATTCCGGGTTGTGTCAGATCCAGAATTACCATGGACTTTGCCGATTTGATGCTTTCCTAAATAAAAGAAATCTGTTTTGAAGATGGACTTTGTATTTTTCTTTTTACATGGATTTCATCACTTGGAAACCTGACATTGTGAGAGGCACATTCAAACAATACAGCCTGTGCACACGAGAAGAGCAGCACACCTAGACCACAGACAGTGTTGGTTCCTGTGTTGGGCAATTCCATGGTGACCTTTCCGGTTCCGGCCATGGGATGGGTTGTTGAAGTAGCTCTATCACAGTGAATTTTAGTGGGCAGGGAGCATCCCTGCCACAGCAGTGGAGGAAAGTAGTTTGGGGGGGAGATGCAGGAAACCTGCACCGCAAACACTTTTCATGCTGAGAACGAAGTTTTGGGGTCCCTGTCTCTCTGCAAAAGAGGATGGGTCCCTGAACCTGCACGATATTATGGCATGCAAGAACATCCATTCTTGACACAAAAAGCATTTCCAAGCCAACTCTCATCTCCTTCCCTCAAAAGCAAAGAAACAGCAGCAGAAAGGAGACAGATCTTTGCAAGGTGAGTCCAGTGTGACAGGAAGGGAGGGAGAAGCATGAGGTATCTTAGTGGGTCGGGAAGGCCTTGAAGGCCTGTTCTGTCACTAGGCCCCTGCATAGTCTTCCCCACACTGAGATACTTCATGTGCAGTTAACGAATGGGTCACTGGTTGTTGTAGAGCAGCGGAGGAATGAGGCTGAACCAGAGTGAAACGTAAAAGGCTTTATTGCAATGAATAAAGGGTTGCTGCGTCTGCCTTCTCGCTAGGCAGGCTAGCTGGCGGCAACGGAGCTGGCACTGCTCGACAGCCGTCTTTTATAGCCGGCTGTCAAACGGTGCCAGCCAATGGGAGCGGCTGGTGCTCCCGCTCAAACAGCGGACCTGGTTGGGGACTCCAACCAGTCCCAAAGACATAACACTCCTTTCCCCCAGCTGGGAGCATGCGTAGTCCTTCAGGTAAGTTGGTTGTCTGCGCTGGCGGCCAGAACATCGCAACCCGGGCAAGCTGCTGGCTGGCGTCAAGTCCTTGCCCCCGGGAATTGTCTCGGAGGTTGTTGGGAAGTGGGTTCGGTCAGGTGTGGTGCTCTGTGAATTAGGTAAGTCCCCATGTTCGGGCTGACCTTGGCGAGTTGCTTGGTCCGGCCGGCAGACAGGTTCGCGCGGCTGTTGGTTCGGTGTCCCTTGTTGACAGCTCGGGCCCTCCAGCAAACTCTCCTGGTCGATGGGGTAGATCGGATCCTGCAGGGAGCTCCCGACTGGGTAGGCTGGTACCGGCAGGGAGTCCTCGGTGCTAGGAGGTTGGGCTGGGCTGGTATCAGTTGTGCTTCTCCATCGCCTTCTGAGCTGGTCCACGTGCCTACGCCACAGGCGCCCATCTTCCAGGAGGACCCTGTAGGATCTAGGACCCGTGACTGACACAACTTGACCTGGTACCCACAGAGGTTCCCCTGCATAATTCCTGGCGTACACCAGGTCATGCAGGGCAAAGTCCCTGACCAAACTGTCAGATCCTAAAGGGGTGTCCGGGCAGTAGTGGGGGTGCAACCTGTCCAGGGTGGTCCTAAGGTGTCTCCCCATCAAGAGTTCGGCAGGGGATTTGTTTGTAGCGGTGCATGGCGTCGTATGTTAGCTCAGGAGGTAACGTGACAGTTTGGAATGCCAGTTTTCCTGGCCAAACCTGGCAAGTGCCTCTTTTGCTGACCTGACTGCCCTCTCAGCCATCCCGTTACTAGCGGGGTGAAAGGGGGCTGTAAGGATGTGTCTGATGCCCAAGTTGGCAACGTACATGCTAAACTCACATGATGTGAACTGGGGGCCATTGTCAGACACCAGTGTGTCAGGGAGCCCATGGGTAACGAAGAAGCGGGTCAGGGCCTTAACAATTGCTTGAGTAGTTGTCGAGGGTAGTAGGGCCAAGTCTATCCATTTGGAATAAGAGTCTACTACAACCAAGAAGGTCCTGCCATGTACTGGTCCAGTCAGGTCGATGTGCAGGCGAGACCAAGGACCACTAGCACTCTCCCACTTGGTAGGCGTGGCTGCTGGTGGGGCAGCCCTGGTTTCTTGGCAAGGTTGGCATGAGCTTACCCAGTTGGAGATTTGGGCATCCATGCCAGGCCACCAAACGTAGCTGCGGGCCAGAGCCTTCATCCTTACGATGCCCGGGTGGCCCTCGTGAAGTACCTTCAGGATGGGTACACGAAGAGTGGCTGGGATGACTACCCTTGTCCCCCACAACAGACATCCTTGTAGTTTCGACAATTCCTGCTTACGGGTTTTGAAAGGAGCAAAGTCAACTGTACATTGAGTTCCGGCCACCCCCTTCCCACCCAGTCCATAACTTGGGCAATTATTCTGTCTTTTTTTGAGTGCGCAGCAATGTCCTCGGCTGTAACCGGCAATTTAAGTTCGTTAACTTCAAAAATGGCATGAACAGGTGCTGGGTCTTCGACTGGGACTGGTAGGGGGCAGCGACTAAGGGCATCGGCATGACTCAAGTTTTTTCCAGGGCGATGCACCAACTTGAATGAATAAGCGGCCAGGAACAAAGTCCACCTGGTCATTCTAGGTGATAGTACCTGTGGGGTTTGCTTATCCCCTGATAACAGCCCCAGGAGTGGTTTATGGTCAGTTATAAGTTCGAAATGGTGCCCAAACAAAAATTCATGAAACTTTTTTACTGCAGCTACTGCAGCCAAGGCCTCCTTATCAATTTGGCTGTAGTTCCTTTCTGCAGTAGAGAAGGTCCTAGAGAAGAAAGCAATTGGTGCCTCGGAACCGTTGGGAAGCCTGTGGCTCAGAACAGCCCCAATCCCAAAGGGGGATGCATCAGCAGCTAGGACCAGGGGAAGTCGTTGATCAAATTGGATTAAGACTG